TGTGTGTGTGTGTGTGTGTGTGTGTGTGTGTCACCTGTGGTACTGTGTAGGGCGTTGCGTTCATGAACTCTGTAAGGTCCATCATACACTCCCTCTCGTCCTGGGAGACGTGGATGCTCTGGATTGGAGGGAAGCGGGGGTAGGCATCCCTGAAGTCCTTCAGCTGGAGCTTCCTGTGGGTCAGCCGGGACCGGGCCAACTCCACAAACACCTGCCGGGACAGAACCGGAAATCACGGTGAGTGATCCTTTTCTAAAATATTGCATCAATAATGTTATCTAAGAGTATTGTCAACCTCTCCTTCCTGCTGATGATGTTACCTTGTGCTTGAGGAGAACGATGAGCTGAGAGCGGAGGATGAGCCCGCAGAGCTTGGCTGGCTGATCAGGAGAGAAGAGCAAAGTAAGGTTTGACTGTGTGCTGCATATTCCTTTTCTGCTCCCATTTTACTTTGTTGTCCAGAATAGAAACGTGGTACTGGACTCAGCCTGAGGAGGAAGTGAGCAGTCGCAGACGATCTAAGTTCCTCAAACACATCTTGTGTCTGCACTGCACTCTGATCTGTTATTTGCTGCTACAGGTGCAGTCAACTACCTGTTGCTGCTTTCAGTAGTGAAATCACCAGTAAATGCTATTGTGCAATAAACCAGAGCAGACAAAAAAAGCAGAGGAGAACCATCTCCATGTTTTCATAGAGCTGGTGAAGTTGGGTTTTAATCAGTTCCTTTTACTCTCCCCTCCCTTCCTCTTTCTATAGTTTTAAAAGAAGTTGATTTGGCGTCATGTTAACATCACTGCCGGTTGGAGCTGGAGCTGTTAATAACCAACTGCAGAGTCGAATCACTGATGTCAGATACTGCCAGGTGCTGATAAGCTTATTCAGCGTTGTGTGATTCAAGTAATATTGGACGAGGAAATCAATTCGCGTGGACAGGGCGTCAGATATTGTCTTCTTGATTAGTAATTTGAGTGAATTTCAAAAACAATGATTGCACCGTACCTCATCACTCCCAGAAACCTGCACGACAACAGGGAAGCCGTTGTGATTGGTGGATGTGTTGCTAAGGGTGTCCACGATGGTTCCCACCTTCTCTATCCTGTTCAAACAGGTGACTGGAGAACTCATCACCTCTCTGGATGGGGGAGATAGAGGCGGAGGAGATGGACAGTGCAACAAGAAAAAGCAAAATGACAAAAAAACTCACGTTCAGAGTTGCTCACAAACACATCAACAGCTCAGACAGGACCTTACCTCGCTGTTAGCCAGTGGGACGTAGCAGGAGCATCCCAGTGGAGGAAGGGAACACTCTGCAGCTTAATGTGGATGTCATACAGACCCTAAACAGGAACAGGTTACAGACACTGTTTCAGTTCATACTGCGCACCAACTGTAAACAGTGTACACTATATACTATATGCTGTGATTAGCTTTGTAAATAAATAAGAGATTACATTTACAATTATTTTTGGGGGGGAAAGAAAAGAAGCAAATATTCATGTTATAAGATGATGTTGATAAGATGCTAATGTCAACCTCTTTACTCACCTCTACAAAATAATCTCCTACTATCTTGGCAGTCATGAGGACGAGCATGATGGGAAGACCGTATGTGACATTTCCTGTAGCCTCCACCATGATGACGGTCAGACTGAGAGTCATTCTCACGATGCCGCCTGCGGGTAGAGGACAGATAGATTAGAAACATTAAACAATCGTTTAACAGAACACATATAGAAGTATGGAATATAAAGATTTTTATAAGTGAATGTAACAGTAGTTCCTCAGTATTTACATGTGATTCATTTCTTATTGAATGAGTGATCACTCACCTAACTGAGCTGCAGCTCCAATTAAGGCATATTTACCAGGGTCTGCCCAGATCTAACAAAACACACACACAGCAAAGTCAAACAGTCGGTTGTGTCCTCTGGAACTTTAGTTTAGTTCAAGACATTGAATCATTCATTTAGATCTTGTATTTCAAACTCTTCCTGTTTGTATAATGATTACTGAGCACAGTACAGTATTGTAGCACAGTTCTGGTACTTACTGAAAAACATTCCTTTTCTAATTCGGCCTCTTAACAGCTGAAACAGTGAACTGAGCTGAGTGGTAAGCCTCAGGTAAGTACTGTATATAAACATGGAGGGTAATACAATATGGGATAATATTAATATAACAGCAACAACAACAATATGCTTGTATATTGGCTTATTCCAAAGTACCCAAGATATAGGGGAAAATATTGATGTTATAAAAAAGCAAATTTATGGAAATATACAACAGATTCAGCAGATCTGATGGAAAGAGGAAGGCTGTTCCAAAGTTTTGAACCAACAACCAGGCCTTGAGCAGATGATTGGCTACTTAAACACAGCACATCCTTACACAAGGTATGGAGTAACACAGAGGTTTTATAGAGGGGAAGTGAAAGTGAGGTTTTCTAAAAGTTGACAATGATGAAGATAACAGAGCCACTAAAGACGGCAGGTAAATTCTGAGCTATGACTTCAATATTATGCCCTGATTCAATATGGGAACTGAAAGATGTAGTCTGAAACTACACTGACCGTGTCTTTGGAGGGGATAGAGGCCAGCAGGATTCCAAACAGTCTCCCCCATGCGGCTCCAATTAGCAGAGACGGGATGAAAACTCCAGCCGACACTGCCAGGCCGTACGTCCAGCACGCCAAGAAGAAATAGGTCAGAGTGAACAAGCCCAGAGTCAAAGGATTGTAGGATCCTAAAAAAAAAAGAAGAATGATAGAGAATGATAAGCAAGCAAGACAGTGTTGCAGACTTTAATCAATCCAGTCATGCACATGAACCCAGTTACACAGTGAAAAAGAGAGACTTGCTTGTAATCTATTAGTTTAGTGTGCTTCTTTTACTGTAGCACAGATTTACCTGGCTGGTTGTGAAAGAGACTGCGGACACTTTTCTCAGGAGTGTTGAAGAAGGCTGTTGCCATGGAGTTATACTCTCCATCTGCACAGAACAACTAGAAAAAGAAAGAGTGACACAACAAGGGAAAGATGGAGAGGGACCGGGCTGGATAAAATGTCCACGTGATGTCCTCGGTTTGAATCAGTATTATTATTATTCACCATCTTTTATCTATCCCAATATTTTATTTCTCCTTAATCTAGCTAAGAAATGAAAAATTCACAAAGACATAATAATCAATATTTACAGTATTTATCCAGCACTGCTCTGTGAGGCTTAGCTGGTGTAGCTCACTGAACTCAAACTGTGCTGTCTCGTGTGTGTGTGTGTGTGCGTGTGTGTGTGTACCTGCAGTGGGTACTCATCAGTGTGCTCTGGTCCCAGAGGTTGACAGTCGTTAGAGAAGTAGATCATGGTGAATGACACTGCTGCGGTCACTGCAGCAACCAACATGGCCTCCATCACTTGCAAACAAGGGCGATGGACATACCTAACACACACACACACACACATGCGCACACACACGCACGCACACACACACGCACACACACGCACACACACACACACACAGCTGTCACCAAAATTATATATATCCCACACTTAGTGGCTTTAATCAGCAGAGATGACTCATTTTCTACATTTGTTTCTAAAACCTCACCTGATCCTGAAGATGGTCAACCAGTAGTTGAGAATATTGAACAGGGCTCCCAGCAAACCACCTGCTCGGGGGAGGGATGACAATAATCAGTAAATAAAAACTTTTCAAACTTTAAAAGCTTTAAGTTTGTTGTTTGGGAAATGTCAAACCTACTTTTAATTTTACCGACCATATATTTACACTGACGTCACCCTACAAAGAATCAAACATAGACCCAAACACAAAAAGGTGTTTTTACCTATAGCTCCCATAGCGATGAACAATGGAATCTCATAGAGATTATAGGCCACACTCTGCCAAAGAAAAAATACAATGTCACCTTTTACATTAACAACCCAAAGCTGGAAGAAAAACATGATATACAATACAAGCTCCTTACGTCACCCTGAAAGCGACCAAAGTTGATGAGACCAGGGCTGGAAAGGTCTCCAGTTTTCTTGTGATAGATGCTGAGGAAGAAGTTCAGGGTGAAGGTGGAAATCATGGAGGCAAAAAACTGCAGAGGAGAAAGGTGAGTGAGGAAGGAAATAAAACACATTCACAAAACTTATCCATCTATCAACCACTTCAGTTTCTCTTCACTAACAAACCTCCAATTCACCTGACAACACCATGCAAGCATTAATCGTGGGTTTATAACAGAGTGAACTCACTATCCTCCATGTCAGCATCTGGTTCCAGAAAGAAGCTCCCTCCTCTAGAGAGAACAGAACGCCACCTGTTGACCGATGAAACAAAAGCTGAAGCCGAGGCTAATTGTAAAGCAATGTTTCCCATTATTATCAGGACCGTGACAACCCGCCATATCCTAATCTGTCCTGCCAGTTTCATAACGAACCAAACAAGTATGATAACATGACAGATCTTGTCGTGCATTAAGTTGTTACTGTGCACGCAGACAGTCTGACCACATAGTTTCAGCTGGAACTGGCAGGAAATGCACTTCTGTCTCTCTCTCTCACACATAAGAACTTCTCTTTCACACTGCATGAAACCAAATAGCCTCACATGTTAAGATCTTCTTTCTTTCAATTTTCACAGTTTTCACAATAGTATAAAATCGTCATCATGACAACGTTAAAAGTGACAGTACAGAGTCTGTACTTTTCACCAACCACTGTTTTTTCTTCTCTACGCTGCACTGCCTAGATCATTCACACTGATTCCTAATAAAGCACAAGTTTATACTGGGCTCCTAAGGCAGATGTATTTTTACCGACTGGGGCCCCAAAAGCAGCTGAAACTCCAGCAGCAGCTCCTGCAGAAACAAAGTCCCTTTTTTCCGTGTCTCTCCGGAAGTATTCAAACATCTGCAAACACACAACAACACTGGAGTTAAAAAAAAAAAAAACTTCTCACTCACAAACACACGCCAATGACTTATATTTTCAAATAACTCAGTAATCATCAGTAATATTACAAATAGGGGAAATGTTGTTATAAAAATATCACACACACACTGACCTTGAAGTCTCTCTTTAGAGACGTACTCCTGCCCTGCGAGACGCCTGCAGCAACAACAGCACCGGAATGAATCATGGGCCCTTCCTAAAGGGATTATGGGTAAACAAACAAGACAAAATAGGGAAAATAAATTCTCAGGAGGCATTAACATGACAGAACTTCACTATTAACTTGAATGACACAGATGTGATGTTGAAAGGTTAAAGTTTGACCAATTCAAATTTTCACCTTTCCAACAGCGAGACCGCCGACCACAGAACAAATAACTCCGCAGACTTTCACCACCAGTGTCTGCAGAGGACAAACACACAAAATGTAAGGACATGAAGGATTAGCCAATTTAAAAAAAGTATAGTTTTAAGTACATCCATTACAATGTCTCGTGTGTTTGTGTGCGCACCTTGAGTCGTACCACCCTGGGAATCTTGATGCCATTCAGGTAACATTTTATCTGAGGTATACCACTTCCTGCCGCTATGGGCTGGATCACACAAAAGAGAGGGTGGAAAGAGGGGAAAAGGTTAGTTATATCATAGGTGGGTATTTTTGGGTATTCTAGCTGACATTAACATTGCTAGTGGGCTTTGCAAATGTGTGGGGAAAAAAATGTTATATTTTCCCAGATCACGAGCTCACAAGCTGTGGCTTATTATACTGGCAGGAATATGAAGCACATTCATTTCTTAATATCTTCGGCATTGTTAGTTTTCACTTCCAGTTTGAACTGACACGTGTAACTGGTTGAACTTGTTTAATACCAATACTTTCTCAGACTCAAGAACTAGTTAGAGACATAAAAGAGGAAGTATAGCACATACACTCTGTCTCCGCAGGGGAAACGATAATAAAAAAAAAGTCAAATTATTTACCTCAAAAAATGCAACTATGATGGCCCCCACCATGACGATGGCAGAGTTGAGGACAGCCCAAAGCAGGAGGGAGATAGAGAGGCCGCCCGCCTCTGTAAAGTTCTCAATGTCTGTGTGGTTAGAGGTCAAGAAACAACTCTGGGTCCTGACAGCACATGGCCGAAACCGCTCGGGGGTCAATTATTGAATGATAGTTAAGACTGGGATGATGGATGCTTATATCTAATATTCACCTTGGCAGATAACAAAAATTCTATTTTAACAAAATATATGATGACTTGGTGAGCCCAGTAAAGCTCAGTCGTATGTTGCTAATAGTCAAGTGTGTCAAGAACAAATCTTCAGGATACTCTTTTTGACCACTTGGTATTTGATCCCAGCCAGCTGCTCCACCGCAATGTCTATAAAACAGGCGATGAGGCCAGTGAGAATGCCGATGAGACCGCAGACCACCCAGCGACTGATCTCCAGACACCGGAAACCCTGAAGGCGCAAGAGCATGAAGGGATGGAGCAGACGTGGAGCAGATAAAAGAATGAGCACTGCAGAATGACGGCGATGCATCATATTTTCACATCATAACTTACCATGTAGCTCATCCTCCTCTCCTCCTCCAGAAACAGCTGGTTTTCAACGTTATCATAGTCCAGACTCTGGAATAACAAACACAGCAAATAGGTTAAGAAAATGACAATGATGTTTAAAAATGTTCTTCAGTGCTTCACGGTAAACCTGGATCCTGAAAATGTGGCAAAACTGCATATAAACACTAGACTGGATCAATGTCACCATGTTAATACGGAGCAGATTATATCAGACGCCAGTTTCCAGCATATTTAATGAGATTAATGTGGTTTGGGTTTTGTGGCCTGAAGGGTATTTTCTATACCTGTGTTATTGACAAATGTTGTTTATCATTTCTGAGTAGATTCATCTAATAATCAGCACTCGTTCTGTTTACCTCATATTTAAGAGACAGCAGCTTCTCATTGTGAGGGATCTCTTTGGGCCGCCCTCTGAGAGAGTCCTACAGGATAAAAAAATAAATAAAAAAAACAGAGGTCACCACATAAACACTGATATCTGACCTGGTGAGAGACGGCAAGGAGCTGGGAACTAAGTTACTGGAAGAAATCCAACATTTTGAACATCAATTTACAAACAACATCAAGAAGATGTTCAATAGACAAAGAGATGTCAAGTTTGACAGAATTAAACTTGACATAACTTACAAACTGTTAATATGGACGGTAAAGCATGCGGAAGAGGGGTAAACATTTAATATTGGAATATTAAAACTAAATGCAGGAAAGAATGAGTTCTTGTTAGTGCAGATTGTTGTTCTGGTGCTAAACTTATCCAGACATGCACACAAACCAGCTACAGACAATTACCAGCATGCAGTCTTACTGTCACACGAACGACAGCAACTAGAGCAACTGAGGTAACCGACGTGCACACAGCAAACAACAATCAGACAGATCACATGCATGTCACGACATTCCCCATCTGCCGGTGAAAATGGCTTCTGTCACGGAGCCATTTCTCTCCATCCTTCTAAACTATGCCATCAACTTGGCTCAAGCATGAGTCATAAGGCCCTGCGCTGGTCAGCCACAAATAGGAAGCAGTGACTTTCAGTTCTTTGTTCGATCAATGATTACATCTGAAAAAATGACTTATTCTAATTTAAGGGACTCTACAGGAGAAGACTAATGCAAACATATTTACGGGGTCTTTGGCTTCATACTTTCAGTACAGTGTTGGAGGGTTTTGATAAAGGGTTAAAAAATGTTCCTGCCTTGTTACACTGAACATCATCTGTTTCCATCACAGGCAAAGACTCACAGCGGAACCAGACAGACAGATGAGTCAACTCTCTCTGTGTGAATTTGGCCCATTATCAGGCCATGTCTGTGTCAGCTTTCCCACATTAGGTTTGAGCTGCATTTATAAGGAAGCTACTTATCTAAAATTAAATAAATTATCTAAATTTAGAACATTATGATCTTATCCCTCAACTCTATGTGAAGTTGTACCTTCTTAATCAGGGCCCGAGGCTGCATGAGTGGAGATTGTAAGCACTGGACTAGATTTCCTGAGCCAGACACACACGTAAACACATGAGTGTGAGGCCAAATAACATTTTATTGACTGTAAATCCACCTCAGCATGTCGCTTGATGTTTGATACATGATTTTAAGATGGAGGCAGATGGATTTTCAAAGTGGTGGTAGAGAGGTGAGGCTTCTATTGTTACAGTGGATGAACTAACTACATTTCTACAGGTTTAAGTGAAGAGGCTGCTAAGGGTCTCGATGGGGAGTGGATCAGTTGGAGCGACAGACACAGATGGACGACAGGAGTGCGGTGACGTTTTGAACACGGACTTTACCTCGTCTGACGTTATCTCCTCTTCCAAATCCACTGTGCTGAGTCTGCCTATCTGAAATATACTGCCTCCTTCAGACGGCTGGACATCAGAGACAGTAACACAATTAAATATATGTATGTATGCAACACTCTCATGATCACTTGTGTACTAGAATGCCCGGAAAAGGGGGAAATGTGGCCCAGTAGAAAGAGCGGGTCGTCCACAACATAGAAAGTCGGTGGTCCGATCTCTTGGGCAAGATACTAAACCCCAAGTTTCCCTCGGTGGTTATGTCGACAGTGTGTGATAGAAAAATCTCAGCATATATTAGTGCTGCATGAATGTGTGTATGAATGGGTCTGTGCTGCTTGTACTGTAAAGTCCATACACAGTCTATTTAGTGTTTTTAATGAATTAAAATAGGGAATTATAAAAGCTGAAAGGAGAGGGCTAAGGGAAAAGATATGAATTAAAAGCATAATGACCATATTTTCAGAAACAACAAAAAAACAACATTGCTTGCAAAAAATGACGTCATATTTTAAAATTCTTGTGAAAGACAGACAGCGCAGTGTATTCTCTTGAGTTAACTTAAAGATAAAGTTATTTTAATTCCACCTTAGGTCCCAGCGCTGCGGGGAGTAACTGACTAATCACGGCTGCATTACAGGAAAAAAAGGAAGTTGTATTTTCCAGTGATTTCCTATATTTGCTCAACAGCTTGGTTCAGTCTGAAGTCAGCAGTCTAACGTGACGCTTGAAACCAGGGCTGCATGCTAAAAACATCAGCAATTATCACAATGCAATTTTAAATCAATAGCAATATTGGAATAGTCCAAATTATATCGATATAACGCCTATGCAATGTGCAAGCAGTCGCATCATTAATCTGCCTCAGTTGCAGAATGTTAATCAAATGTTTATCATCCTCTGCACATAAAAAAATGTCCTTCAGGAGCAGTAATCAAACTTTAAACATGAATGAAATAATAATAATATGACAGTATCGTGATGATTATCGATTTATCGACAGATATGAAAGTTGCATCTTGATATAACTTTCGCCCAGCTATACTTGACGTATACTTTTAAAGGTTCAGTGTGTAAAATGTAGGTGAAATTGAAAATAAAATAATTCTAATGATGTTTTCACTAGTGTTTCTCATCTAAATTGTACAAACTGTGGTTTTCTTTACCCTAGAATGGGCCCTTTATATTTAAATACTCTATGTTAACATCAGGAGCAGGAACTTTAGAGTTTTTACGACAACTGAAGTTCACCACAGGTTCTCGCTCATGTTTGGAAGGGGAGGGTGAGGTGAGGGGTGTTCAGCTGCAACATGCAACTTCACCACTAGATGTCACTGAATTCTACACACTGTACCTTTAACTTAGTAGATCTCTAACTTGTGCAGGTTTAAAGATACTTTAATAAAAGACACGTGACAACACATCACAAGAGACGGCCTCTCTTTCTTTACGCTCGTCATTTCCCCAGATTACAGAATGTGACTAGCTGCATCGTGTCAGTGATGTCACCCTCACTCAGTGAATTAGTCTCATTCCAGCTCAAACGAAGCTTCTTGCGTCTGTTTCGCGGCTGCACACATGGAAGCAAAAAAGAAACACGCACTCATGATGGCGCCGAGGCGGTTCCATGACACATGCAGCGTCCACATCAAGACCGATCTAACGAGGGTGGACAGAGGAGGACGCAGCATCTGGGTGTGAGGGGGGGGGGTGACACCTGTTAGCCGGAGCGTTAGCCGCCATGCTAGCTGTACCTGTCTGGAGTGTGGGTTCTGCTCGGAGCCGTTGAGCAGCGGGGTTCTCTCCCCGGTGGCCCCGGACTCGTCGGCCCGGCTGGACCACGACACTTTCTTGGTGATGTTGGCCATGGCGGCCCCCGGTTACTGTGGCCTCTGCCGCCGCTGAGTTACTTCATTAATGTCCGCCGCCGCTGTTGTTATCCTCCTCCAGCTGATCTCAGTCACTCCTGACACTCGTGACGCTTTGTAAGGGGAGCGCGCAGGGACAAACTTAAGCGCGAGGCCCGTTGGATTCTGGGACTTGTAGTTTTGTTTCGTGGTGCTGCTAAAACGGCTAAAAGTTACGTGGCAACTTCCGGCGGTGGAAGAAGTATTCCAGTCATCTGCTTGTATAAAAGTAATGATAATAATAATAAACTGCAGTGGCTGAGACAGCTTGATGCACTGCAATTTAAGAAAACAAAAAGTCAAAACACAGAAATACAGAAACTGCAAATTGCGAAAAACGAATGTTGAAGGGGAAAAAAGTGATGAAGCTGACTTTAGTTCCATCACCACTGACGAGCAGCAGACTTCACAAAGCATTGAACTACAGTCAGGAGTTGTTTTCTGACCCATATTCCGCCAATTATCATGGTAATCCGTCCGCTAGTTTTTTGTGTGATCCTGCAAACTAACAGACAAACAAACACAGACGAATACATAAACTCCTTGGCGGAGCATGTATGAACAAGTCAGTGACAATGACAACAAAAGCCATTCAGCAAGATCTTAAACTCCCAAGTCAAGTCTTTTTTTAAATACAGGTTTTGGTTCGTTATAGCAGGAGGAATTAGAGAGAGAGAGAGCCAAACCCACACAATTGAACCACCCATTCGTTAATTTACTTGTTGGAGCAATTTGAATTGGACGTTTGCAAATATGCATCAAAAAGAATAACAAAGGCATGATTAGTTTATTCATATAGAAGAACATTAAAACATACAGATGCTGCATCTATCTGCTGTCTTAACAGCTTTGACCCTGCTACAGTGACCCTGAGCGAGAATCTCTCCTTTTATTACGTTTGTGCTGTAAATTGCTGTAAAGATATTTTTAGCCTGTGTCTTAGTGCAAAAAAAAAAGTTAAAAATACACCAACCAAGACTGTGACAACAAAGCAGTCATATCTGTAGAAGTTAATTAAATGATGCTTCATTTGAAACCTCATTCATAACTTTATCCTGCACAGTGCTCTAAGCATTCACATGCCACCTGCTGCACCTCCCCATGGACCTCCTCTATATCCTCCATGTCGAGCACCACACCTCTGGGCACACCTCTCCCTTCTGCCACCCCTTCCACCTCCAATGGACTCAGCACCCGGTTCCATACCCTGAACCCTGCCATCTGCCCAGCGAACCCCTCTGTGGGGTCAAACCCTCCACCAACAGAGTCCTGCTCCTGCCCCAACACCACTGATCCTCCTCCGGGAATCTCCCAGCCCTTCCTGAAGTTGGAGCCAGAAGAGACAAGGCGGCGGTCACTGTAGTGCCAGAAACGACCCTGGATGGAGGACCAGAGGATGCAGAGGTGGTGCCAGCGAGCGTCAAGGAGCGACGACATGGCGAGACGCCGATAGACGGGGTCTCCAATTACAAAGTCCAGGGACAGTGGAGAAGCCGAGTACGAAGTCGACGAGAGTGGAGAAGAGGAGTAAGAGGACTGGGAGGATGAGGGGGAGTTGCGTCCATACAGAACTAACTGGTTGTCATTGTCCTCTGTGGCGTAGCTGAGCAGCGTGCCGACATGTGAGGCCTCCACACGGAGCCAGAGACACACAGAAAGTTCAGGGAGGTGGGGGAGAGTCAGGGAGAAGGTGACGTAGTTCTCTGCTGATGCAGAAGGGAAAAACAGCATGGAGTCCACATTACAGACTGCAGACAGAGGGAGAGAGAGGATGTGTTCAATTCCAGGTAAAATAGTCATACCCGATAAATGCAAAGCTGAACAGCAAACTATTGAAACAATTTAAGTTATCTGGTGTCCAGGAACAATAAACCTGTGCATAAGAAAGATTGTAGTATTCTGCCTTAAATTTAGATTTTCAAAAATAGATGTCAAGTTCCTTCCTCTTCTGAGTAGATCCAGTTTATTATAGTTACATCATTTATATTTGAGGTGCCAAGATTTCTACTCACTGGTCGCATCCTTTCTAGGAACAGGTCGTTCTGGGATCTTGTGCCTCACAGGAAGATTGAGGATGTTATGGATCACTGAAGTTTCCACCTTAGTCTCACTTTCTTCCTCCTCCTCAACTTTCCACCTGCCAGCCCTGGACTGATGTGGCTCAGACTGGGGTTGAGGGACAACACGTGAGACCTGGGGCTCGGGAGCCTCAACCCTGGTGCTGTTCCGTCTGTCTTTGGCCTGGGTCAGGGGTTGAGGCCAAGAGGAATAATGGTGGGACTGGGGGTGTTTCTGAGGTCGTGAATGAGGCTGGAATGGTTGTCGGACCTGGGCATGACGATAAGGGACCGACTGACGAGACTGGAGCTGCTCCTGCTTGATGGGGTAAGGCCTTGTCTGAACGCCCATCTGGATTTGTGACAGGGGGTGGTAAGGGTCGCGCTGGGGCAGGTATAGTGTTGCCTGGGATGTGGGGTTTGGTATCTGTGGTTGAGAATTTGTCTGTGGTCTTGGCTTTTTGGCTTTTGTATGCTTAGGATGGTTTGTTGCATGCTCTTCATATGACCTAGACTGTGAAGGACTATCAGTCTTGGTTTGACTGATTTCATCTGCTCTGGGTTGGTTATGTCCTTTCAGAATCCTTCCAGGCCTCCCTCCTCCATGGGTTTTGGATCTTTCGCGTGATTCGTGGTATTCTTGGGGTGTGATGTTGGATTTCAGGGACTCTCCCTCTCTCACTGAACCCCTGACGTTCCCTCCTCCATTCAAATGCAGGAACTCGCCAAGACGTCCCTCCACTCGAGTCACACGCAGCATCTGGATTTTCAGGGATTCCTGCAACCCTCTCAGCCCCAATAGCAGCTCATCGCGCTGGGCTTGAAGGGCAGCCAGCCTGTCCTCTTGGCCCTGAAGCTCCAGCGTAAGGTTTGACAAATCCTGACCAAGATCAGGCTTCTCTTCCTGGGTTTGGTGTTGAGTCTCCCTCAGGTTCCTCTCCATCAAAATCATACGACCCTCTATCCGCTTGTTCTTCTTCTCAAGCTTCCTGCTCCACTCCCTTGGATAATAAACACCATGAGAATATTATTGTTTAATTTGTGTATTACTTATTATTAAAATTAAAATAGGTTTTTCTTCAGGCCCCACATCGATGACAAAAGATGAGCTCACACATATTTTTCTCTGCATTCATTGAAAACTCAAGTCATTTTGTACTTTTGTTTTTTTACAGTTTAAATATATCCCACGATGCTTTGCAATGCTCTAACTAACCTGAGACCCTCTATCTCCTGTGTTGTGTTGTGATTCAGGTGCTTGAGGTCCTGGGACATGTGGTGGTACTGATCATTTAGGGCCTGAACACGGCTCTCCAGCCCCCATGAGGAGTTCCTGTTCTGGTTCAGGGCCAACATGTCCAAACGGGCCTGGGTCAGTGCCCGGAACTGTTGAAACTATTAGAGAGAAAACGGGTTTTCACAAGTGTCTCAACAGCTGTTAAGTAAACTTGTTGACCCAAACAACAATTTTTCCCTGAAGCCTATTGTAGTTTAAAAAGATTATTATACATCTGACCACTACAGAAACACTGAGGAGTTTAATGTACGACTATGTGACAGATATATGATCAAAAACCTACATTTTTCTAACTAATCACTGTCACAGATTACACACATACTAACAAAAACAATCTGTAAAAATACATCAATCTGCAAAACACTATTAATGTAATAAAAATCTCATTGCTTTTCTGAAAGTTAACCAGAGTCATTGTAAACACTCATTTGTTCAGATTCTAGCCAACCTGTTCGTTGAGCCGTCGTAGCCTCCGGGACACAGGATCGATTCCCTGCACCTTCACAGACTGAAGCTGCAGCACAAGAACCAGGACCAGGGGCCAGTGGCTGGGCTCGAGGCTGCCCATGGTGCAGCGGAGCTGGGTAGAAGCTGCTCAGGACTCAGGAGCTGGGGTCAGTGTGGGAGTGAAGAACAAATGGGAGAGAAAAGATATGTATAAATTATGAACGCCCACGTATTTTCCATCATCCACAACATCACTGGGGAGCTGAGAGGAAACACAAATGGATTTAACAGGCTCTCCGTTATTCTCTCTCTCTCTCTTCTTCACGAATGAACAAAGAAGTAAACTGTTTCAAACAATCCACCAGCTTATTACTGATCAAAAATGTAGAATAATAAGTCTGAAAGTGAACGTTTTCAATAATGTGTGCTAAGTTAATCCTCTACTGCAAAACCACATTGTACTAAAAAAGACTTCATTTGTTTCTTATCAATCATTAATGGAACATCTAGACATTAACATTTTATTGTGACAACAAACACTCTCTTACTAAACAATGTGCACTTCCTTCAATTTGATAAATATAGCCTTTTACTTTTTTGTGTTGTTGTAATGTGGCAGTAAATCTCTGTACTTTCCTCTTCCCTCCCCCAGCGGAAAAGGCAGGGGACATGACTATCTAATTCTGCTACCACTTCTTCTTCTTCTACTTCTGCTTTCCCTACAAATGGCCCAATCCAGGAATTCTTGCTGTCAATCCCTCTTCTGCTTTCTATCCATGACTGGGTTGCAACACTGTGGCTTCATCTACGCCACAAAGTCACCACTGAGGGGTGATAGAGTGTTTTACATGAATTACACTAAAAACTTGACTTTGAAACTAGTTTCAAGGCAAAAGCTACTAAAACTCAACCCAAAGGTATAGTGGGCAGATTAAATCATCAAGCTTTCATTGATTTAAAAAGAAAAAAAAAGGAAAAATGTCAAAACAACATGATATCAAATTCAAAGTCTCAGTTCCAGTTTCATTTTCACTATGAACACTTGACAGGTCACACTTCACTCTGTCTCTGTCAGCCTGTCGAACCCTCAAATGCACATTGTCCGCAGGAGGATTCAGCTTCATTGGTTTGCTTTTCACTTTTTTCCTGAGCTTCCCTGGAACAGGACAGAATTAGATAAACAAACATGACGGAAAACACTCCTCTTCTGAAGAGAAGACTCACATCATCTGAATCCAAGGTTGGAAACGTTTCTGTAATTTGTGTAAATCTCTCAGTTTGTTGATTCAGTGTTTGTTTGATTTAATACAGAAATTAATTGTTCATCTCTCGTCTGTGGTGTTGTGAGAAGATGTGAGAAGCACAACACAGGGTGTGTCTCACAAAGTTAAAGGCTGGTCTGTTGTGTTAGGTCAGTTTTAGTTTTACGTAGATTAAAACTTTTAATTAAGATCCATTTTCCTGTATCCTGCAAAACATTTGCACTAAATAATGACACCTCTAACGTTTTTCACTCATGTTACTCATTACAAGAAGTAAATTGCATTACTATAAGCTCTCATTATAAAGTTTTTACCTCTATTCTCAATATTTATGCTGTTTCTTTAAATTCTACTTCATCCATATCCCATCATCCCAGATCAGTAACTCCAAATTGTTCCTGGCTGTTTTCTCGGCTGTCCTGGGGAACTTCAACTCCGGTTATTCTATGGTCTTATCGTCCCCCATCCTGACAAAGCTCAAGAGCCCCGATGCCGACCCTCAACTCAAGATGGGCACGGTGCAAGCCGCCTGGTTCGGCTCAATCTTCGCACTGGGCGCAGCAGCTGGTGGGCTGGGGGCCATGCTGCTCAACGACATGATAGGAAGGAAGCTGAGCATCATGATGTCAGCGGTGCCATCCACTATTGGGTAAGTCTCAGGAATGGTCATTTTCTAAGTCCTGCACTTCAGTCAACATATTAGGTATCTGTGCTAAGTGTTTAATGTGTCTTTATAATTTTACAGAGCATTTCAGAGGAAAATCTGAAATTGTGTAGTTGAGACTAAATTAAACTTGCAGAAGACTTTTCGATGACTAAACAGCCTGAGTCACTGTGTAAGATTTAGGTGAAAGGGATCTATTGGCAGACATTGAGTATAAATGAATCCTAGCAATGTTTTCATTAGTGTGTAATAATCTAAATTGTTGTTTATTTACCCTAGAATTGCCCCTTTATATTTAAATACTTTATATTTTCATCGGGAGGGGGGGTCATGTTTTTTACAGTCGTCCAGACTGGACAAACTAAACACCTTTTGAGTTTTCATAAAAATTGAAGGCTACCACGTTTTTTTTAATGTTTGGATGGGGAGGGTGAGTGGAGGGGTATTCAGCTGAAACATGTAAATTCACCACTAAATTCTACACACTGAACCTTTAATGCTATCACATCAAAACAGTGAAAGTCTCTAAAGTACGTTATAACTTTATTATTACATCACAGACCAGCCTGCTATATTAGGGTGAAATGTGTCAGTCAAATATTATTGTTATATTATTGTTTTCATTTCTTATCTGAATATGTATGGATACTATTCTGTTTACATTTGGGAGGTAGAGTTTGTTGATAGCGACCAAAGATGGTCACTGGGGAAAACCAGCTTCCTGCTGTTATTGCAACGTTCCTGGAGGTGGCAGCAGAGAGCAATAGACAGCCTGAGGTTAACTTCTATATCATAAAGAATCTGTTCTGGTTTTACAACATTATGTTTGATGATATAGATGATATTATTGTTATTGGTTGTAAAAATCTACCAAGTACTGCATGTTCTATAAACTTATGAGTTTATGTTTTTGTTCTTGTTCATAACAGGACGGTGCAGATAAGATTTTATTTCCCTGTAGATAATGCTCTATGATCACGTGTATCTGAGTTTACGTTCTCTTCTCTGTGGGCATCTCAGATACATGCTAATGGGAGGGGCAGTGAATTTATGGATGCTCGATGTGGGTCGTTTCCTAACTGGAGTCGCTGGTGGGATGACTTCAGCATCCATCCCTGTAAGGTCATTATGAAAAGACACTTAAATATGTGATGTAACCTGAATTTGTCCCACATGTGCTGAAGGTATTGTACATGTGTCTTTTCCGTGTGTCTGTCACAGGTTTACATCTCAGAGATCTCTCACAAAGGAGTGAGAGGAGCTCTGGGCTCCTGCCCTCAGATCACTGCTGTGTTCGGGGCCCTGTTACTCTACGCTCTGAGTAAGAATATACCAACGCTGTGTCAGACCTGAATAGAAACAGATTTAATGAACTTGCTTTCCCCTCATTTTACCTGTTGATGTCTGTGGATAATATTGAGTCGTTACATATGCTCTGATATTTTTAGTTTGACAGTAACCTCCACATTATGCGTGATGTACAGATCTGGGGATATCGTGGCGGTGGCTGGCCATAGTGGGGGAGGTGCCGGCTGTGCTGATGGTCGTGCTGCTTGTGTTCATGCCCTCCTCACCCAGGAGGCTGCTCTCCTTGGGCCGAGAAGAGAAGGCCGAGAAAGCGCTCCGCTGGCTGAGGGGAAGTCAGTACGACCCACACGTCGAGATCAGTGCCATTCAGGTAAGACGCCAGCATGTGTTTTGAACAGTGGTGGGATGTAACAGAGTCACATTCTTTTTACTTAACTACATAAATAAGCAAATATCTGTACTTTTGACTCCTTCTTCCACTGAATAGGATTGCACAGATGTAAGTTAAGTAAGTAAATCACATGATCCAGTGCTCACACATTAACTTGGCTTGTGTTTTATTTTTCTCCCCACACAGCACAGCATCAGGACGCAGACTAGGGTCACATGCACCCAGCTGGGCACACCCACCTTCTACAAGCCGATCCTCATCTCAGTGGTGATGCGTTTCCTGCAGCAGATGACGGGCATCACGCCCATTCTGGTCTACATGGAGCCGATCTTTACCAAGAGCAATGTCTCCCTGCCGCCACAGTAGGAAATATATCCTATTCATTCGTACTTATTTCTGATCTATCAAATATTAACCTATTGTGTGTTTGTCAGGTACGATGCTGCCCTCGTGGGCGCAGTCCGCCTCCTCTCGGTTGGCTTGGCAGCCTTTTTGATGGACAGGGCGGGACGCAAGGCCCTGCTGTACACATCGAGCATGCTGATGTTCCTCTCTAGTCTGACTCTGACCATGATCTCCCACACCACACCTTGCCCGGGCCCCTCTCCTCCAAACCACACTTTGAGTTCGGACTACGGCCTCAGCAGTGACATCGGACACACTTTAGGGGCCGGTCACAAAGACCCAGGAAGCATCCTTCCTCTCATCGGCACCATGGTGTATATCTTCGGTAAGTCCTGGAAGCAGCTTTCAACTTTTGCTGAAAATCAAATCACTCAGGATTGGTTGTTAATGTACTTAAAGATGGACGAGACGTCTATCCCCCAAAAGTGAAGCCAAACCTGGCTGCATTATGGGTCATAAATCCTAATCATAATGTTAATGGTAATTGGTTGAGCACTTGTATCGCTAACGTGGCTCCATCCCCCGATCGCTACTGTGCAGATTCTGGGTCCAAATACGCAAGATGGCGGCATTCAGATACAGGATATTTTGGCTTCATGCTGGATAGTGGGAGGAAGTGGACACGGGTCGTCCATCTTTGTAAACAGTCTGTGGAAGGTCCCGACTGAATTATCTCAACAGCTACTGGATGAATTGTCATTAGATTTTATACATATCAATTTCCGTTGATGATTACCTGCTCCGTTTTCCTTTACTTTTTTTAAAAGCCTTGAGACATTATACTTTTGATCACCTGACATTTCATGTCATTCCAGTAACAGATCAAAACCTTGTCAGCCTCACTCTACACACTGGGTTGGTTGGGTGGAGATTAATAACCTGTCATGCATGTGTCCCTGTAACAAGTCATGTGCTTATTGCAGCAATTTACCTTTTGTCCCAACCATTCAAGACCTGCTATTTCCTCAGGACATTTTGTTACACTGAGCCTTTTAACTGCTGTTCCACCTCCTTAATTACGTTCTTACACCTTATGCAATGAGGAAAACATTGAAATGTCCCTGTAGGCCCTTAAATTCAAGTGTCACATGTCCAAAATCCAAGCTACAGGACCTGACAACTCATTTTTGATATTTGTCCAACAGCTTTTATCTTTTAACATTTTTAATCCGCAAATCAAATGTACCAGAGATAGATGAACCTCTAAGTAAATTCCGTTTCAGATTGTGCCATGACATCATCTTCTTTTACATGGGCTGTTTGACTTGTCCTCACATTGTCTCCTAGGATATGCCATTGGATGGGGCCCAATCACGTGGTTGCTGATGTCAGAGGTGTTGCCGCTGGTTGCCAGGGGCGTGGCGTCAGGTCTTTGTGTCGCCGTCAGCTGGTTGACGGCCTTTATGCTCACACAAGCCTTCACACACCTGATGGACATGTACAGCCTCTATGTGCCCTACCTGTGCTTCACCGTGGTGTGTGTCTTCTGCCTGCTGTTCAATGCCGTGTGCATCCCAGAGACTCGCAGCCGCTCACTGGAGGAGATAGAGAACTACTTCAGGACAGGCCGTACGTTCACCATCAGGCGGGGTCGATCCACGATTCGGTCCACCTGAGGCTCACACATCATTCACACGATGTGCAGTAGCTCTAAAGCAGGCACGTTAAAATGATCATGTACCATCAATATTAAAGGTCTAAGTACAGAGGGTTTATGTTCCACAGGGTCTAAAGCCCACTGAGAGAAGGAGCACAGGTCAAAGGTCACTGAGGCTCTGTTCAGCAGAAGAAAACATTGGGTTTACAAGGGTCACTGTTTTCACATCACAATTACAACAATCATTTTTACAATAATATTAGGTATGCAGTACTCACACACATTACTCAAGTAAAAGTACAAATACAGCCTACTTGCCTTTAAATATACTAAAAAGTAAAAGTACTTGACTGTAGCCTATTCTCTAATGCAATGGTCTAAATCATAAACTGTGCCCACTGAATATTTTGTTTATGAAAGAATAATACACACTTTTACACTACACCTGAAAGTAAATCTACTTTAGTGAAGTACAAACATGAACATTTAAGTATGTGTTTGTTACATTCCACCACTATTAACAACAGAAACAGCTCCCTTCCTGTTTACTGGTAAGAGGTCTGCTTTTGAAAATAATACTCTTGTCTCCTCTTTTCAACATGCCATCATTTCTACAGAAGTGAGTGTTCTCACTTCACTATGTGAAACGTACTCAGTATTAATACCCACTGTGTTCAACAAGGGATTTAAATGTGCAGCGATGTACCAGCAGAACAAAACTTTATGTTCATGAAGTTCTGTTTTAATCTGTTCGAGGAAAATGTGATTAAATACTTTTCTAACTTTTGCTCATTGTTTGCTTTCGAACTAAAATGAAACTCCGCAAAGGCTCGACTTGTCAAGTAAGAGGATGCAGATGCAGGCACGGGAGCTTATAGGCTGGTGAATGTGGATTTAATGAGAGAACATGAAACAAAGCAGGTTTACAGCGCGTAAACATCAGGAAAAATTCATCAAAGAAAAAGGAGCCAGACAAACACAGAGACTATATACACGAGGGATGACCGAACACAGAGGAAAGATGCAGACGATCACAAGGGAACAGGACAAAGACAGACGAGAAGCCAGAGAACGAGGAACAACATTACAAAATAAAACAGGAAATGAAGAACTAAGAGTGCAAACAAATAACAGAACACAAATCCAGGAAACCAAGGAAACATCCACAACAAGAAAAAGCCCAAACAGTGAAAATCTTCCATAAACTGTCTTTCAAAATTGGCAGAATCCCAGAGGGGACAATTTACACAGACTCAGATATGTCTCGTGGTAGACTATAGATAGATAGATAGAAAGATAGATAGAAAGATAGATAGAAATATAGATAGATAGATAGATAGATAGATAGATAGATAGTTAGATAGATAGATAGATAGATCTTATGACATGAGCCCTAAGTTTAGCTTAATCTTGTTGCTACTGTGACATTTAACAGACTGAATCTGGATCATGTTTGTACAGTAAACAATCACACTTTGTAAAGTCGGCACACAGACTGACCGAGGATCAGAAGAGGACGCAGTGCTGACAGGTGACCTCTGACGGGTGTTGTGCACACACACCACAGTATTCAGCAGTTTCTGTAGGAGGAGCTGCGGGATTATTCATTTATGCTGCAGTCATCAATTACAGAGGGTAGAAAAATCAGCGGCCCTAGTCACATGCCACAGCGTCGCACTCACCGCGTCGCAGGTTTGAGTCTCACTCAGCCAATGATGTGCATCATAATCATCTCCCAGTGTTCAGTGGAACACATTAAGTTTACAATATGCTAATTGCAAGAGGTGGACATGATTAGTGATAAAAGAATGTTGCCTATAATACACTGTGTGATCCTGTGGGTTTCTGGGTATGACTGAAAAGCTGCTCCTCAAATGTGACTCAAATGTGTCCTCCATCGTGTTCAGCCTTTTTCACAGACGTCCAGAAAACTGATATCCGGTGCCAGACTCCATCTTCCGTTTGCTGTGCACAGTTTAAAGTCTGTGAGAATGTATGTAATGACGGTTCTTCACACAAAGCTCAAACAGTGATTCTTTCTCTTGGGGATTTCTGTCCAGACGACATTTTGGCTAATCTCTATTCACAGTTATATGTATATGAATGCAGATACACGGAAAATTAAATAGCCGATGCATTTGAGTCAATGTCTTCCGCCTCTTTTGCTCTCAACAGAATGGAAAGTAGCACGGTACCATAACAATGGATTTGTTTATTTTCCATCTAATTAATGATATAAAATAAAACTTGAATTACCGCCCTGCCAGCAAGGGCAGTTTCAGTTCCTCTGGGAGTTCCCAACACGTTGCCTTCACAACAGTCGTTAGTCTTAACGAACAATTGTTCCTGATTTGAAAGGGTTTTCTCGTGGCGTTCTTAAGACATCATGTTCATGACCTTTGACCTTTGAAATCTAATCAGATCTTACTTGAGTTCACTTGAATGTTTGTGCCAGATGTAATGAATTTCCTGATACTCACATGAACATGAGGTCACAGCGACCCTGACCTTTGACCTTCAACCATCGAAATCTGAGAAGTTCATCTTTTGGTCAAAGTGAACGTTTGCACCAAATCTGAAGAAATTCCCCGAAGGTGTAGTTGAGATATTGTGTTCACAAGAACAGTCAGATGAACGGACAACCTGAAAACTGCCTGGAATAAAAACAGGAGGCAGAGCACACAAGATATTTTTAAAAACACTCGGCAGATGATAATAGTTGACCTCCTTCACAAAGGGACCAAAGTTTTAGTTTGTGTTTCACTGTCGGCAGATATAAAAGGTCTCAGGCTGAAAACTGCTCAGCCACCGTGTCTGTACACTGTGTTTGATTGACATGGAAGGAAGAAGAGTTAATACACTGTAGGCTTTGGGTGTGTCCGTGTGTGTCTGTGTGTGTGTGTCTGTGTGTGTGTTTGAGAGAGAGAGAGAGAGAGAGAGAGAGAGAGAGAGAGAAAGAGAGAGAGAGAGAAAGAGAGAGAGAGAGAAAGAGAGAGAGAGAATTTGAGCTTTGCAGCCGCACCTTGTTAAATCAAAGCAGTGGGTTCATTGATTCTTTCATTGGTTGGAGAAAAACGTCAGTTTAATGTCAATTTAGTTCGACAGGACACATTTCTGCAATATTTAGTTCATTATGATATTTCCGTCTTGCACCCGCACAGATAAAAGATAAATGCTGCTGATGTACATCAAGACGTCTGGTCCGTGTGTACGTGCTTCTGTGAACAGGCACGTACACACACAGAACTATAAAGTTATAAAGACTTTGATTTTACATAAACAATAGTTCAGCATTCAACACCAAGGCAGCACATAAAAGTGTTATCCAAAAATTAGCTCAAAGCAAAGTTAACTTAAATTAATTTACTTAAAATTTTAATATTATGCAAAAATGCAATAATGTAAAATAATGTAAAATAAAACACACACACACACACCTCAGTACCTCAGTCTTAGATATAAAACTCTGCAGGGATTGGTCTATTCTCTGGAATGTAGTTCATCAGGCCCATCGAAAGACACTAACTCACCACCCCTCTGTACACACACACACACACACACACACACACACACACACACACACACACACACACACACACACACATCACTGTCACCGATGGAAATGAGACATGTATATTCCTGCCCTCTTCAACAGCTTGTGTGTGAGGTTTGCTGAGAGGAGGCAGTCAACACCCAGCGCTGTTCTCTGATCCAGTGACCAGCGGCGGAAAAATGTGGTTGAACTGGTCGACTCCCAGCTGAGTGACAGAAACATTCCCAGCTCATTCTGAACTAAAATGTGACACTGGCATGACAAAGGGAAACTCAGGCAGGGCTGTGTGTTGACAGTAAGTCACGTTCAACCAAGACGCATAAAAAGCATCAAATTTAGCATCAGTCACGACGTTCTCTGGGTTTGGGAGAATCCCACCTCTCCACACTGCGTCCTGGATGTGTTCTACTGACACAGGGCTGCGCAACAAGGCCAAAAATATTATGAAGAAAAGATGTCATATCAGTCGATATCGCTAATTATGTAAATGCAAGATTATAATTTTTTTAGTTTGAGTGAAGCTTGCACACTCAAAAAATGTTTTACCTAAAATGTAAACTTGATGTATTTCAATTACATATAAAATGTTCCTATAAGTTTTAACATAAGTTCAACGTTAAGGGTCCGATTGAATGAAGAGTTTTCTATCATGTTGAGTTGATGTGAATAAAGTAAATAACTTGAAAGGGATTTGATTAGATAAAGTTACACTTATGCATAAGTTTTCATTATATTTAAAATTTTTGGCATTTTTTGTAGCATTTTAGGGGAAACTATTTTGGGAGTGTGATTGTAAACTTTAAACTTATGACAAACACTTGAGAAACAGAAAAACATATATATATATATATAAAATACAATTATATTGCGATAATTATCAGCTTTCTGGTGGACAGTAGATTATCAGGAGAAGTGTGAAGTGATTTGTTTGGTTTATGCAAAAGACACAAGTATGGAAACACATGACCAGAAAAGAAAAACACTGAAACACAATAGATTGTACTTTATTTATTATCTGTCTTTGTTTATTCGTCAGTGGCCGTTGGACAGATGTCATGTTGTACACCTTGTTTTTATTTATTCATTTCTTTTTAAACCAACAAAGTGAAACATTTTATTTTTGAATTTCAGAGATGTAGATTAGATTTGTTTTGTTTCTCCATCAGTCCCTACACTGAACTAAGAGTGTTGGCTCTAGCCTAATTTTCAACACACAGATAAGAGCTGGATCCAACCTAAGTAACCTATATACAGTATATATCTATATATTTCCCAAAAAGTCAAACTTTGGGTGAACAGTTTTTAGTTCCTGCGATCCTGCACCCATTAGTCAGAACGCAAAATAGAAATTGTAATAAATAAAATTGGATTAAATGGAAAAAAATACATGAGGCCAGTTCGTTCAGGGGTTTTTCACGTCTGAGCTCAGATATTTAAACATCGGTGAGATCAACGCTGGATTCTTTTCTTATCGGAGGAGGGTTTGAATTTAAGGTGTGTGTTAGCGTGAGTAACTTAAAGCTGCTCTACATCGTCAATGCAGTCACATTCCAGGAGAAAAAAAAACAACTTATGATCACAGTCACTCAGACACACACTCCCTCAGTAATTTCAGAGAAATGAAGAACAGGTTACAGACGAAGCAGTTCAGGCTTTTGGTAGTTACACCTAAACCAGAGAGTGAGTCATCCCGCCAGCGTCTTTGTGTGTGAGGGCGGGGCTGTGGGTGTGTCCAGGGAGAGGTGCAGGTGATACAGGTGGATGTCTCAGCTAAAACCCATCTGGACTCTACATCAGCAGCAGCAACCGACACGTCTCTGCACACTGACGCCAACAGATCGCCAAGGTAAGACCATCACCAATCAATATGTGAGGAGAGAGGGTTGTATTTGACACTGCAGCAGAGAATAATCTGATGTTGCATGAAATTATTTTATCTTATTACTTTCCTGCACTAAAAAAAAGGTTTGATAACAGAAAAAAAGAAAAGTTTGGGCCGATTCACTGCAAAGTTCTTCTGCACAAAGACGATAATAACAATAAGTTTTATGTTGTGGCTAAAAAAGGATGTGAACTTGTAAAAGTTAGAGATAATACATCCAACCACAGCCAACAGGTGAACAATCATTTGTCTCCTGTGTGTTAAATATTCATCTCTCACTTTCTGTTCTAGTTAAAGTCGTTGTTAGGATCCACATCCGTCGTTACGTTTTTATTGCTGGAATGTGGAGACAGACACGACAGGTTTTAGAGGCTCCAGATATTTCAGACTGGAAGTGAGCTTAAATTTGGATCTTTCCACTTTCACATTCATTCCATTCCTGTAAGTCACCTCCTCTTTCTCAAGAATTCAGTTTATTTTTTTTTTTTAATCATTCGGTGATGGTTGATTTGTGAAGTTTAAATTTCAGGTTTGGATCAAAGGTCTGGCTTTTTTCCTGTGATGGAATTTCTCTGGTTTTAAAGTGAACATGCAATTCACCCAAACTCACTTCTTTTATAATATATACAGTATATAAATATATATATATGTCTGAATTCGAGTCATTCCAGCTGCAGACAATAATATAGTTTGTGTTATCAGGGTGTATTTTTAAAGAAGATGGGTTTGTCTATGGTGAACTCATTTGAATTAAAAACTTACTCTAACCATAAACTGTTCATATCAACAGACTTGATCTAATGTTTTCCTGTTGCTGTAACGAACAGGATCAGTGAATAGAAGAGATTTAGTTCTTACATCAACCACATGGAGCAGTTTAATGTGTGTGATTTGGTTAAAGAGACTTTTCCCTGAGTCAGAATCTAATAAATACCTCAGGACTGACCTCAGCAGAAAAAGACCACATTCAGTGTCTAACAAGTTAAATGACATAACCACGTTCTCATGGGCAGAAGTTCAGTGAAGCTAAAGTAAGGTGGGGTGAGAGGGAAAGTCTCAGACTTTTAAATTCTCTGCCTGAGGCGATTTGCATTCCATAAATCCACTCCTCAGCCTCAGAACTAATGCAGAACCGTACACACACACTCCGTGTCTGAGCTGAGGTCATGTGCCTCGACACCGTGGGTGTTTTGTCTAATTGTCGGCCTCTAACTTTCCCCGTTGACCTTTCAAAGTATCTGTGCAACAATGTGGCCGATGGATTTTTCGGAAGCCGCACCCAGTCCCTGCCTCATCTGACTGATGACAGGAACATTAGCACAGAAACTGACTGGGCAGTTTATTCTTCCCTTTTCCAACTCAGTTCTTTCCTGTTCATCTATTTGTTCATTTTAAACCTCTTTTATACTTTTAAATCAAGGCCTCCTCTTTCAACAGCTCTTAAAAGCACCATGACCGCCACCTTCTCCGAGCTTTGATTTATTTTCTTAATGAATCTGCAAAGAAAAGAAAAGAGACATTCAAGATAATGAGGAATAAAGAAATAAACAGGACTTTGAAGCTGCTGGAAACAACAGACTGACCAGTTTCTGTGATAAACCCAACACGCCCAGATTTAGAGCCACACCAGCTGCACACTGGAATGGAGGAGGGACCAGTTATCAGAGAGATGATCACTGTCGCTCACAGAATTTACCAGAACTGAGACACACGTCACATCCAGTCACCAGGGTTTAGATGAAAAATCGTTCACACAACATGATGTCAGGAAGTTTCCTGTAGATTAACAGGCTGGACAGATCTTTAGTTCAGTCGAAGACATGTGAGCTCATCACCGGCAAGTCTGGTTGACACACCCTCGGTCCGTGACACCGGGAGAAGCATGCAGCCCGGTGGCATTCCTGCACCAACACATGGGCGTGTGTGTATGTGTGTGTGTGTATATGTATGTGTGTGTATGTATGTGTGTCTAAGATGCATTTGCTGCAACGATGTTATACGATAGTCGAGTGAAGGTTCAGGGTTTTGGTTAAATCCCCAAGAAATGAATGACTGAGTCGATGAATTATAAATTAGTGTGTGTGTGTGTTTCATTTGTGTTTCTGTATTTTAATCGAGGTGTGGCAGCTCCTTTAGAAAAAAAGACAGTATCGTTGACATTCACATATTCTGGTGATCTGTTTATGTTCGTAGTTTATTTCCTTAGAAATAACAAAGAACATTTTGTGAATCTTTGGAATACTAAACATGTGGAATAATAATTCACATTAGAAAAACGACAAGTAGACGTTTGTGGTTTTAACTGTGCGACTGACAAAGATCTGGGACACGTCCCTCAGAGCATCCGTCCTCACATTCTGTTTCTGTCTCTGCAGCACAATGAGTGCAGACGGAAGGAAAGAACCCCCTCCCTACATGATACCAGGTGAGCACACACACACACACACATCATCTTCATCATCATCATCAGACTGGCTCACCCACTGTCCTTCCTCCCTCTTTGTCTCTCTGCCCTCCAGCTCAAACCGACGGAGATGGAGTGAAGGTTTACCATTTGCATTCACCTTTCACCCCTCCTGAATCGCACTCAGTCAATACACCAGGTAAACTCCGGCGTCGTGTCTCTTACAGACGAACGGCCTCAGACCCAGTTCTACTCTGGAGTGATGTTGATTACCTTCCATCTCCTCCTCAGTGTACACGAGTGGAGGAGGCGGCAACCTCGGAGCAGGCCTCGAGTCCGAGGATGGCAAAAGAAAGTTTGTGAGCTACAGCTCAGACCTGGGACGAAACCCCAGCATGGCCACCTGTACTTCCTGTCAGCAGCAGGTCATGACCAACGTCACCTACAAAGCAGGGACGTACGCCTGGCTGATGTGTTTACTCTTCATCTGCTGTGGGTGAGTGGGACTGGACACAGACCTACACTCCAGAAGAGTTTAAACCAAATGTAAAAAATGATATCTCTACAGAAGACATGGCTTCATCATTAGATAAATGGTTATGATACTTTACTCTGAACTCCTCTGAGGCCCTGTTCAGACCTGACACTAACATCTGTGTATCTGTGTGTGTTTCAGGTTAGTCCTCTGCTGCTGCCTGATTCCATTTTTCATGAAAAACTTCAAGGATGCGTACCACACATGCCCCCGCTGCAACAGAGTCCTGCACGTCGACAAGAAGCAGTGCTGTAAATGACGACCATGAGTCGCCGAAGGTCCCACAGAAATAAGGAATAACATCCTGCCCCGTCTGTCTGTGTTTCCTCTTTTCTATGAAACTGAAAGGTCACAGTTCAGATGCCGCTTATTTCTATGGATGAGCCGTTACATTAGCGGAGGCAAAATCAAGCATGAATGTATCTCACACTACATCATATTATTAGAAGCCAGACTCGGAGTGATCACAGTGTCACTTTTAAAGCTCCAGTGAGCAAACACACCACATGCACTTTTATTTTGGGAGCCGTTAGCTTTTTGTCCCATTTCCAGTAGATAATAAAACGTTCTCTATTAACCACCTCAGGTAAAATGAAGGCTTGTACATAGCTTTGATCAAATACTTCATGTGTACTTCAGGACTCCGCAGTCCAGATGTGTATTTGAAGGTATTGTCACAACCCTTGACTAAACAACAGCAGTGTAAAACAAGTAAATTACACCGGAGCAGAGAGCAGTACATCAGCATTCTTCTCCTCTGCAGTAATTGCACAGTAAATGTGTGTTCACATTGTTTTCGTTTTATGTTTTACTCAATAAAATGTGGCTCATTTGTGTTACATTCATGTTTTCAGTCATAAATCTACTTTTTTTTTTAATTCTAAGGGTTGAGGGGCAATCTGAGTGAGCATGAAGTTCAAAGAAAAACTTATATCACGTACATCCGCAGCGAGCAGCTTTTCTTTTCTTGTTTCGATTATTTGAAGCTTTAGCCCCGACGATGCTTTGTTGATGCGTTATAACGCAGAGTCAGTGATGAAAGTACTGCAATATTCACACATTTGCAGTGTTTGAATGAACTGGATTTATAAAATACACAAATATATAACAATTGGATTGAATTTAATTTGAATTCACCGTTTAACACCCGGTGTCGCCAAATCGTCTAGATTGTCACTTTAAAGTTCTTTTTTGAACTTGCTCGATAAATGTTTGTCTGATTTTTTTTTGTTGTTCTTAAAAAATCTTTCTGCTTCCTAATATAATAACAATGTGAGAGCGAAGAGAGAGCAGACGGAATATTGTTGCGAAGGATGTGACTCCTTGATGTTGACTGCTGGAGGAAGAGTGGACTATTGTTATTTTCTACTATTTCACATTATTTCTCTAATAAAATTAGACTTATGATTTCCTTCCTTTGTCTTGCTTCCTCTAGAGAGACGACTGTTTTATTGTCACTCGAATAGATCTGAAGTAAACATTCGGCCCCCGAAACGTGTTTAAAGGGTCCAAAATTGTTTTTTTATAACTTGTAGTAGTCTTCTAACTTTTCATCTAGCGCCATCATCAGGTCAAATTACTTCGATTTTATGACTAAAAACACGAAAAACACAACTGAGCGAGCTGTAATTGGTTTTAAATCATAATTAGTAAATGCTGACAGTGAGTGTTGCACATTTTTAGCGTCGTCTCTGTGAGCATGTTTCAAGCAGCCGATAAATGTTTTTGTTTTTATAGAAAATTTTATTCAACATACATTTTCCAGCAAAAAGGCAATATACAGGAATAGTTGTCGTACACTGCTGCTACACTGAGGATTTTAAACTGGAAAAGATCAAATTAAGGTGTGATTCTGCAGGTCATCTTTGTACTGTACTTTTTAACAAGACAAAACCAATGCAGTTAGTTTTGAAAAGAAAAAATCCAAATGTAACAGAAAAAAAAAATTAATAATTCATCAATGGTACATCAGGAACGCAAATAAAGAAAGAAAAAAAAAAACCTACACACAAGAAATATGAACACCTGGCTCCTTCTGTACCCAACAACAAAGGTGTGTTTCTCTTAAATTTTACACGTTCATATTTTTAAATATACAATTCTTAAATGTTGTCTTTACAGAGCCAGCTATACGCTATTAGGGGAGCATTCCATCTGTGCTTTAAAAGAAACCAAAAAAAAAACCAGGAAAAATAAATCCGTAGGGCTTAAAGTGTTTCTTACAATGCTGGTTTTGTCTCTACACAATCCTCAAACCTGTGGGCTCTAAGTGTCTGCAGCTCCCTACCAAGCACAGCGCAGTTACTGCTCCCAACCACGTGGAGGCGACAGTTTCAACCAAGAGTGAAGACGGGGGGAGGGAGAAGGTGAAGCTTGCATGTGTGTGTTCAGAGGAATGACTGAGAAAGACATGAAACACTTTTGCACCACAAAAAAAAAAAGAAAGAAGAAGAAGAAGCCGAGGAGGTTGTCTGTGCGTGTGTTTTCATTTAAAGTCGCTGAACAACTCAAAACCACGACCGTGTACATTTGCCAGTCCTGAGAAACCTCTGACGTTAAGTGCCAACGTGCAAGATGAAATACAGACAAATCTCTTCTTTCGTTTTCCCCCCATTTATTTTTACAGAAATGCTGTGGATTTTTTTTTTTATGTTATTATACAAGATTTGCAGAAAGAAACAAAAGAAATTATTTTCCTTCAACCAAACTAGGTAACAAAGATAGTGTGTTTGTGTGTGTGTGTAAACTTAGAAATACTTGTTTCTGTAGCACTAAAAAGATGGGAGCAGGAAATAAAAAGAACCACATCAGGGCGACTAGTGAACCTCAGGATGGACGTCAGATCGCAGCAGGTTTTTTTTTGCAAAAGATTCCTCCGCATGAACGTCGGACCTCTCCCTCTTTTATTTTATTGATTTTTTTTACTGTCAGTTAGTCCTCACAAACGTCCTTTTATCAAACTCTACACACAGCAGCGTGATGCCTCTTCAAACAAGTCTTTATTTAAAAACAACCCCAAAAAAATCTGATGTGAGTGAAGCTGGGAGAAGGAAAAGAAAAAAAAAAACATTTGAGTCTAGAAGTTCTTTCGTATGAGTGTGTATATTATTTATATCATATCACACACAAACAATGTTCCACTTCCTCTCTCCTCTCCGCTTATTTCATATTAAAATCTCGATTTCCCCTACTTCCAGACAGGCAACAAAAAACAGGCAGTCAACAGGTGGAGAAGCCAAAAAAAAAAAAAAAAAAAAAAAAAAAAAAAACTAAAACAAACAGTCGGGAGGTGGTTGGTGCAGTTTATTTTGTGGTTGAAGATTTAATCCGTCAGTTGCAGCATGAGCCGAATCGCTGAAGACATAGTGCCGGTGTAGAGCTGTAGGTGTCCAGGCAGGGTGTTAAAAGTGATAAACACACACGAGCACGCACGCGCACGCACACACACACACGCCCAAAGTCTCTCGCACACGGTTGGTTACAGTCTGTGGTTATGGTGTGTTAAAGACGGTAGGGAAGAAGGCGGAGCAGGAGGAGGATGAGGAGGACAAAGAGGAAGGGGCGGGCTGCTTTAGTTGTGGATCTTGATTGCTTTCTCCAGGTAGGTGTAGCGACCTCTCTTTGGAGCTTTGTTGAAATGGTCCAACCCGAGCCAGGGGCGCGGGTGGGACATGTTACCTGTGAGGAAGGAGACGCGGCGGAGAAACGGTTACACAACGAGCTTCACGTTGACAAAGTGCGACAACAGAGACCGTCACTGCACAAGCGAGGACACAGGGACAGTTGGAGCGGCGGCAGTAGTCGTCAGGACAATCTGGAATAATATTTGGGATTTATAGATAAATGCATTTATAGACAGTTATAGATAAAACTAAGCTTTCTAGTAACGGTAGCGGTTAACGACTTCAGTCCTCAGAAGCGGCCTTCGTTGGAGTCGGGCTTGCACATAAGAGGCAGAGGTAGAAACACAAAGCACCATTGTCTGGCGAGTTGCTGACGAGGTGAGTAATCAAGTAATCACCGATCCTGGTAGATCACTTTGTACAGTTTTACAATGTTTACCTCGTAAGCACGGCGACAAAAGGTAAAACTGTTTCTGCTCCGACAACCTTCTTGTCTTACGGCATCATAAACCACCGGGCAGCGTTTCTATTTTCTTCAAATTCTCTTTTCATCTCCTCTGCCATATTTCAACGTCTCACCAGAACCTCAACAAACACTGACTCAGCTCCACGCGTTTTAACTGAGTTGCGGCAAAAGGTGAATTAAAGCGAACTTTTTCTTTGGCTCGACGACCTGGAGCCTTCTGCTCTGCCAACACAGTGGCCGTGTGTGACTCTGGACTCACAAGCACAGATTCATGTTCAGGACACACACAACATAGCTGGCTCTCGCGCTGACGTGCCAAGCTAGCTGTAAATGCAATGCTGAAGAGAAGCAGACTGGTTTAATAAAATCCACGAGCAGAGGAACACGGACCGGTTCAGCAGCAGCCTCTGCCTCCTCCTTCACAATAACACGCTTGAGTGTTTGGTTAAACACCATTATTGGCTGGTGCCTCCGCCGCTGCATGAAAAGATGCTGAATGTTTACTGGACGCAGTGCGAACAATGCGACCACAATGCAGTGTTAGCGATGCACGACGTCAGCCCATTCAAAGTAAACGAGCAGCTTATCAGTTGACGCCTCAGACGCACACGTGTGTGAGTGACATGAGTGATTGTCCAGGACAGTCTCAGCTGAAGCGTTTCTACACTTATATTATAACCTGTTGCATTTTCATTAAGTTACTGCCGTCAGTGCAGTGACAGTCAAAACAGCAGTGGGGGTGTTGCCGGCCTCCCACAGAGCAGCAGATGCAGTAAATACCTGGCTGTTCAAAGTCCTTCAGGTTGACCTCGTACTCGTCTTCAGTGATGTACTGATGCCGCCCCATCATCACAATCGCAAACTTGAACTGAGACAAAACACAAAGACAAAGTTACAAAGTGTTCATTTTCATTTCAGTTGAATAAAACAGTGATCAGGAGCGTTTCAGTGAAGCAGGCCGGCAAACAAAACACTAAATATTCACCAGAAAACCAGTGCAATGCATTTAAATGAGCTTCACCTTCTCAAATTCTTTCTCCTGGATGTCCAGCATGGTCTGGATCCTCCGCATCACCTCCCGAAATGACTCACCCTGAGGGGTGAGGCAAACAAACAGTGTGAGTTTGGGGAACAGGTAAGCAACACATTAGGTCAAGTAGGTAAGGAACTCTTTTTCACACGTGTAAACACACCTGTCTGATCTTGAGCAAGAAGGGGATCCCAAAGGTCCCGAAGACCTCTTTGTGGAAGTGAGCGACCGGGATTAACATTTCACTGTCCTTGTCCAAGTCCACCTGGTCCAAAGGAATCTCCTGAGCGAGGAAAGGAAACAGGACACGTGAGAGAGGAGGGTCAAGAGAACCTCACAACAGGTTACACAGTGTGTTCAGCTCAACAACTCAACCAAACTGTGTTTCTGCTGACCTCCAGTGGCCGACGTTTTCACTGTGCTGCAGTGATGCAGAATTGCACTCGGGGTGTGGTCGGTACAATTCCGCATCACTGTCAGGTGCGGTTAAAGGTGCAACAAAGTTCAGCCAGAGGTGGTCATCGCTTCAGCTCAGTAAATCTTTAATATGTGAACAATATCCTTTTGAAGTGGCTGAACATCGGCTGCAAACTGGCTGCTTGTGTAAATAAAGTTATAAAAAGCACATCAGTGTCAGGCTGAAGGCTTGAGAAGTGCTGGAGCGACTAAAGGAGGAAAAAATGACTAAAAATAAAACTTAAAGAGGAGAGTGAGACAGACAGACAGGAAACGCCTCCCATACACACTCACCTCTATTCTGAAGGTGCGGCTGGCAGCCGGAGATAAACATTCTAGCAGCTCGTCCTCCTGGTGAACCCCGATGATTTTATAGCTTACTATCTCTAACAGCCTGAGGGAGGGGGCACAGAGACACAGGAAGGATTAAGACGCTACAGCAGATCTACAAAGACTGAGCATCAAAGTCACATTAAAACACAGGATAACATATAAATTAGTGAAGCACAAACTCTCAGTGTTGCTAAAGATAGCAGCTGTATAAAGATGATGCGATACATTTCTGAGGGAGGTGTTGTCAGGGTGCGTTGTAGGTGCACAGTGAATTCTTAAAATCACAAATCATCATGGTCTGAATGTCCTGGAACATATTTTACAATGCTCACAACAGTTTGCAGTTCAAACTAAAACTTGTTTCAGGGAGGCTGTTAAAAAACATGGAGTGACTCGTGGCTCACTTATGCTCAATGTTAGATACAGAAACGGACAGAGCCTTCTGAACAAGCTCAGCGTTCAGTTGTTGTGCACATCCGCAGAACTTGGGGTGTTGGTGAGTTGGACCACTGTCGTTTACAACGCAGCTACTTTTGCCTCTTTCATAAGAGGTGCTTATGACAACCTCCGCCACCGTCGTCGCCGCCACTGCCCTCTAGTGAACGCATGGCTTTATAACCATGACAGGCCTTACTGCTTTAGACAATCTGCCTGCAACCTGAAACTTTGTATTCAGTCATACACACAAATATACTGTATGTGCTGAAGTACAATCAGAAATGTCTAGGACTGTTTTCTACTTTTAACTCACTTTCATAACATGCACCATTGCTATGCTAGTTTACATGAGGCAGGATGATTTGAAGCAGAGTTCAACACTGGTTGGTGAGTGAAAAGGTCTGATTGCAAACAGTGACAACGACTTTTCATTCATAGAAACTGTAGATCAGAAAGGAGTGGATGACAGAGTGGAGATCGACGCCTAAAGGCGACAGCCGGTGAAGGTCGTTGTGAGGCTCAACCCTTTGGCAAAGTGTTTTATTACTTCAGTGCCCTTTGCTGCCATATTAAAGTCACGCACTTTGAAACACATACCTGAGCTTCTCCGAGCCTTTTTCAGAGAGCTCCACTGCCTTTTTACATTCTTCCAAAAGGTCCCGCACACAGCCATGCTTGTCAGGGTAGAGGGTGATCTCCTGCAGGAACAACAGTCACATTTCAACTCTTTGCTGGAATCACACAAAACATTTCACTCAGAGATAATGCATCATGTCGCTGTTGAAAGTGTGCGTCTGTGCGTTACCTCCTCTCTGAACTGGGTGTTGAGCCATATGG